GAATGCTGATCTGGACCCTAATACATAGTTTTTGTCCTTTATCGATTCTAAAACACGGGGATCGGGAATACCTAGTGAAGGTTCGTTTGAAGTTGCCAATGCGTTTGGTTGTTTTTTTCAAGGAGTCTTTGAAATGCCTAGTAGTAGTGCAAAAAATAACTTTTATAATTGGGGCAGCTTCAATTTTTCCAAAATAACTGTTGATACTGTCTTGATAGTCCGACAACAACTTGGCTTTGTTAGAGGTAAATCAACAATTTCTAATCTGTGTAGTGCACTCTTGGTAATTATGTGTCTGAGGCTATCGATAGCAAATTGCAGCTAGATGTCATATACACTGATGCACAAAAGGTATTTGATAAGGTTGATCATTATATTTTACTTAAAAAATTAGTTGATATTAGCATCCCTCAGAAAACCTTCAATCTTCCTAAAACCTTAGGAAATATACTGTACGGGTGGGTAATGAACTCTCGGAGGTTTATACTGGAACGTCTGGTGTTCCTCAGGGAAGCAATATCTCACCACTTCTTTTTACAACTGTATAGAAAACTCTGAATGCTTTGTTTTCGCTGACGACTTTGGGATCTTTAAAGTCATCTCTTCAGGATTTTACTAAGCTACAAAATGACTTGAAAAATGTGATTGAATGGTTTAAAAATAATAATATGTTTTCAAATATCGATAAGTGTTTCACGGTTACTTTTGCTCATCGCAAGAACACCAATAACTATAAATATCACATTATTGGAACGGAACTGTCTAGGAGGGATGACTGTGAGGATCTTGGGGTCACTTCCCAGTCGAATTTTAGATTCAATTTGTATTATCAGCAAACCGTCAATAAAGCATTCAAATGCCTATAGGATTTATAATTCGCAACACAAGGCATTCTCACCAAATTGATACTATAGTAAAACTTTATAACACATTTGTTGGACCACATTTGGAATATGCGTTGTCTGGTCCCCAGTTGCAGAGTGCAATAAGGATTTAATAGAAAAGGTTCCTTAGATATTTATATTACAAAAAGTTCAATGTTTATCCATTTTTTCCATTGTTGCTTTCTTACAGGGAAATGCTAGAGATGTTTGAAATGCAACAATTCTCAGTTAGAAGAAGTGTACAAACTATTAAGTGTCGTTGTACATATTTACCGAGATATTCACCTATTGTTGTGTTATTGTAAGTTATTTAAATTTTACTGTAAACTTTAGGTACTCTTTTTTGTTTTTTCTGTATTTAGTTTTAGCATTATTTTTAGTAACCACCTTTACTTGTAATTACCTTTTGGATGTTTGTAGGGTCTTCCTTAAATAGATAAATAAATAAATAAAAATTCGTGCCAAGTCCACTGTTACCAGGATGCCAAGCCATGGTGCAGACGATGTGCAACTTGGGAAGCAAGTTAAGGCTTCAAGACAATATGAAATAGTACCACGTATAGGGATACCCTTCGAACGAGCGGTAGTATCTCGCTCAGTGGCAACAAGTACATCCTGGTTGCAATGGACTACTTCAGCAAGTTACCTGAGCTTTTCGATATTCCAAACCAAGAAGCTTCTACAAAGTCTCCGTCAAATATGGAGAGCAGAGTTCGCAAGTTACCAAATGAAAACAAGATATGATTTCAAAACGAACTCTCCAGGTTTCCAGAAGAACGAGAGAGTTTGGTTTTAAAATCCTCAAAGGAAGAAAGGTAGATCCTCGAAGCTAACACCAGTTAGTACACGATTAATAAAAGACTCATCGACGTGGTGTAACAAACTAACGAGGCTTCAAAGATTAGATGAAATTGATGCAGTTGACAGGTTTATCACGAAAATACATGAGCTGTTTTCTCGCGTTCACTTTTTTGAAACTGGTTCAAAAAAGGTTTGAAACAGTATGTTCTCGCAATGCACCTATGACGTCACATCAAAATTGGTTCAAACCGTTTCGAAATACAATCCAATCCACGTTTTCAAACCATTTTCTCGCGCTGAAAAGTTATGACGTCCTGTGACACTATTTTAAACCAGTATTGAAAAACGTTTTAAAACATTTGAGACGCGGGAAAACACCTTTGGTCAGATTGTCAGAGCCAGACGAAAACCATACAGGGTGTATCAGGTTTAACTACAAAAATTTTAACACGTGAACATATGGCCCATTTTGAAAAAAAAAAGTTTATACTACATGGGACCCAAACTCAACCATTTTTAAGAAACAGGCCTTTGAAATTTTGACATTTTTCGACGAATATTTGGAAGATAAAGAAAATTTTAATCATTATAAGGTGTAAAAAAAATTAGTTCATGCAATTATTAAGTAATTATGCATTTTTAGTCAACAATAATAATGAAAAATTGTAAAAACAACATAAAAATTTCACTCGTAAATCGGTATCTAAACATCTGGCAACATGTAAAATGTTTACAAACGTCGAATATGAAGATACTTGTTTAGACAGAATCGTTGCAAAATGCCCATTTAGCAGCCAGAATTAACAGGGAAAGATTTCCCAAGAGCACCCACCTAATGAAGAGCATTGTGCCCGTTTTACAAAGATTGCGTGATACGGGAAGTGTGAGTGTGCAAAATCTGCGTGTTGATTTGAGTGTTTTGAGAACCTTTTACCAAAAATTAATATTTTCATAATGAGGATTTGGCAAGTAGCTGAGTAACTATTATTTAATTATTCTCTTGAATGTCTAGTGCACAAATATCATTGGATTCAATTCACAACTTATTAAACCGGCACAGATTTTATTTTTACTAGAAAAGTGATAAAAATGCAAGTTATTATTTACATTATTTGAAAGCCAATAACAACCAAAACGTAAACACATGGAATAAACTCTTTGCAAAAAAAAAGCCTTTAAATTTACCAGTTTTATCTACATTTACATCCTGGCAAAGATATTACCTGTACGATGTTTTCACGTTTTTAACATTTTCCTAAATTTAAATTCTGCGATAACTCCGAAAATACTAATAATTGGCCCATGGTTAAAAGGACAGTTTTAGCTCGAAATGGGCCATATTATCTCATGTTAAAATATTTGTACTCATACCTGATACACCCTGTATTAGTGCGGAAAAGCCAACGCCACTGTGCAATATGGGTGCAAGGATATTCAGGAATTTGTTTTCATTGAGTGCATTAAGTAGATAAACAAGAATTTATGTGAATTCTAGCAATTTCTGAAGACGAATGATTTTCTGTATTAAGCGCGTAGTTTGTAAGTTGCGACCCAACTAAGAGAATTGTTGTGTACAGTTAAATAAAAGCGATAAGTGATTAGTGAACTTTGTAAAGTCAATTAAATCAATAAAAGTTATTGTTGTTTGTAAAGACAGTTTTAGTAGACCTATTTATAGGCTTCTAATCAGAAGATGTTTGATATAAAATGGTTTATCATATATGCAAGGAAAAAAAAAACGTGTTATTTTCCATCAGTGTTTGCGAAAAGCAACAATTTGATACAATGTGTGTGTTGTTTGATTTATGTTTATCTCATGTCATGAAAAAAACTGGATGAAATAAATCTTTCATATAAGTTTTCACAGTGATTTCCAGGTTGAAAAAAATTGCTGAAAGTGTGTACCATCCAAAGGTATGCAAGCAAAAAGATGTTTACTAGCTTTCTAAACCCTCACCTCTGAAGTACCTAGCGGTATTGAAGCAAATAAATAAGAAAAAAATATAGTAAAAGAGAGAGGCTTGAACTGAAGATTTGCTATAAGGTTAGAAGATGGAGATGCGAGATGTTGTTCCATTATTCATTTTTCCCGCAAAATTTATGTCATCTTCGATTTCTCAAACGATTTTCAAGCAACAAGGTTTTATTATTAATGGTCTCGTTACGGTTCTAAAAAAAATTGGGGCTCCGTTTTAGAAAACAACTTTTTTGAAAGCATCATAAATGTTAAAATGTGTCCAGTGACCAGTGTCTATTCAAAGAGTAAAAATAAACTCTACAGACCACGTAAATACCCGGAGTCTAAAAGAAACAATATGGCAAGGGATCGTACAAGAATTTCGTGGAAAAGACAAACATGACTAGACGAATGGCGGTCAAAAATTGTATTAAGGACCAGCACAGAGAACATTAATTTAATTATAGTGGCTATTCTGGGAAGATATGAGTTGAGTGAAATTTATTAACATGACTTTTTTCCATTTTTTTTATAGTTTCTGGTACAAGACACATTCTTAGTTTTGTAATAACATTTTTTTATCGTAACGAGTTGACCTTGCAAGAATTTAGATAGCCACAGGTTTTGAGTTTTTTTAGGGAGAAAACTTTTAAAAGGAAAAAAATTATAACAAATTTTCTAGGGTAGGGTAATTATTTATCGTTTATGAAATTAACCAGTAAAACAGCCTGTAAAACTAAATATGTATATTAAACAATTTTTTGGAAAAAAAAAAACCTGATAAATCCATTCACTGGGTTTTGTTACTAGGTACCAAACCAATAAAAAAAAATTGAATAGTTCTTTTGTATGTGAAAAAGGCTCTTACATATTTTTTTTTTTGTAAATTTAAAACAAAAAAAGAATGGAGTTTCTCTTCTCAATTACGTTTTAAAGTTTAAAATAAAATTTTTGTTACATTCATATACTGTTTATGAGTATGACCAAGAAGGCCTTATTCAACTGTGATATTAATTCCTTAGCACTACCACTTTGTATTGTAGGGTCCCCCTTTATAGCAAATGGCACCAGGTGAATATCTTCACAACCTTCTAAATATATAGTGAATATAATTCGACATTTCTTTCATAGACAATTGACCAGACAATTTCAGTCAAAATGTGCATTTTTATATAAGTTGTTTCAAATAATGAGCTGCTTCAGACACTGAATATTTTTCATTTCAAATAGGTGCCTACTATAGGAGGGTAGACGTACTATTGGGCTAAATTTATTCTTTCCAATAGTCAGTACATTACTTATACATAAGGATTCACTTATGCTAAACCGCTGCTTTAAAAAATAAAAGACAAATTTACCTTCTCTTCGCATTCCCATTTTTATGCATTTTCGAAGTCGACAATATTGGCATTGATTTCTATGATGCTGATCTATAGGGCAATTCCTACTACCACGACACGAGTATGTCAAGTTCCGTCGAACACTACGTTTAAAAAATGATTTGCAACCTGCAACAAATGAAAAATATATTATTATAACACTTCAAAAACATAAGAACGTTGTTCGTTCAGGGTAGAAACATTGATGCTGCGTCATGCAAACGTAATAGGGTTTGCTATTATTCCCAAAAACGTTTAACAACTGGTCAAAAACACAGTTTCTGTATTGAGCAGCGCAGGAGAAAAATCGGCAAATATCTAAATAAAGTAAATTTAAAAAAATATCTTCTGGTGACGAAAATGGTAACAACTTTCATCCATATAGGGATAAGAATTCCATAACGTTCGCTTCTAGTTGAGTAAATTAAAAATATTAAATTGTAAATGTTATATTTTACTCATCTATAATGAAATAGGTTTGAGAATGCTCTTTAAAAACTAAGAGGTTTAACTTTAGGTACCGGAACTTCAAAAGCAAAATAAAAGTGTATAATATTGCAATTTACGAGAAAAAGAAGTTTTTAATACGCAATTCGAACCCTCTTAAAGAATAAGAAATACATGTTTTCAGTAACAACAATAATTTAATATCAAATCGTTCCAATGTGTAAGCACGATAGCGAAAAGTATTTTGATTTCATAAGGGGGTTTTATAAATAATTAGTCAAGGGTGAGTGCTGTCCCTTTCTTTTGTTCGCAGGTTCCAACCTTGCAAGTTTTTTTTCCTCGACCTGTAACTAGGGTCTTACTGGACCGTGCAAAAGCAGTTAAATCGGCAGTTTGAACGCAATTGTGTAATATAAGTATATAATTTTCATACATTTCGAAAAAAATAATTGATGAGATAGCTGCCAAATTAATATTTTTTTAAAATAAAATACATATATGAAAAATTAAATGACACCACCTTATACAGGATAATTATTCACGGTCGATAGACATTTTTAATCAAAATCAAGCCGCATAAATATAACCAAACATTGTTCCATCTTTTAAAAACATAACCTACTTATTGAAATTCGTAACAAGCATTCGAATATCGAATATGCTAATTACAATCTTCAGAAAATAACTCAATTCCACTTAAATTGAATAGTTTTGCTCGGTGCTGTACATAACCTCAACTTTGTTTTGATGGAGCATACATTTTGTGCATAAAATTGGCGCAGAAACTCCTGCGTCCCGTTTCTTTGAATGCAGTCCCTTTGGTGGTGAACTTACCTTTTTTCTGGATGATACCGCTGCCTTTGCCGACTAATGTTCTGCTTGCATCAAGATATTTCTGAGGTGACTTCGATAATATTTGGAATTACAATTCAAAAACTAAGCGTGTTAGCTGTTAGTTTACACATAATAATTTGGTAAACTCGAAGAAACAAATAAGAAATTTCAGTTTTGTCGAGGGCCTCACATGTTAATGTATGTATAGGTACCAGGTCTTTATTCTTCTTCTCATTTCTCGCCCTCATATTGTAAAATATTCTTAAATATGCAACATAAAAGACATCATTTTTAATATCAAAAGGCAATACTTTGGGAATCCTTAGGAAAATTATACGTTTGACATGAATTCCACCAGACTTTAAATCTGTTTCTAATCCTGAAAAGAAAGGTTTCTTAGTATTATACGATTTCTCTGGGTATACGATTACATTATGTATTTTAGATTGAAAGGCAGTTTTTACCCAAATGCCTAGATCCTATCTTTATTATTGAATTCTTAACCTGTGTATGGTGTACCGTGTTCTCAGTTTAACATATAAATTACATATATTTGCAAACGGACATTTATTTATTTTTTGTAATATTGAAATTGAAACAAGATATTTGAAAAATTAGAAATTAATGTACCTACTTAAGCAACTCCTTGATTTATAATTTTTGTTATTCAACCCTCGACTTTATGGGCAACTGATTCTTATTACTAAAATCTTGACAAACCCTTGATTGATAAAGTAGATAACATTTTTAACTAAAATTTGATACAGCTGGGATAATAGGTTTAGGAGGTTGAGAGTGTTGAGACGTTGGTTATTTATTTTTATTTTACAATAAAGAAGATTTTCTCTCTTGGGCCATAATAGGGTTTGCAACTTTATTAGAAATTCAACATTTCCGCACCCTGCACCAATATCCTTGGCTTTGTTATAGGGTCCTGTTCCCGTAACAGTCATCAATATACTATTTATTATCTTGTATTTAAGTTTGTGTTGAGGATAGTTGTAACACTCCGGATAACTGATTAATTTTTAGTTAAACCCGATTTTTAGTTATAGGTATACCTATTAAACAAAGTCCAAGTTTTCATCCTATATCAACATCAACTTATCAAGCTATTAAACTGATTTAAACGACATACAGGGTGTCAATTTGAAAACTTCCCACCCCTATTATCTCGGAGTAGAAAAATTTTCGAAAAAATCCCTGAAACAGATCAACTATAATTTGAAGGGGGATGAGTTTTTATGGAAAATTCATCTTCCCTATTTCAACCCCCCAACCCCCAGAGTCACCCCCTAGAAAATTTTAAATGGGAAGGGGGGCAAGTGATACATCATTTTGGAGGGCTTTTAATTCCATACATTTTGGTACAAAATTTTAATCCCTAAGTTCAACTGTTTCGGAAACATTGACAGTTGAAAATTGACTTTTAGGCAAATTTGACAGGCTGTAAAACCTAAACGGTTAATTTTAGAGGAAAACCGATCTTTCATTCTTGTCTTAGATTTTTCTAAACTATCATTTGACAGCAACTTCGAATTTAATCCGCGATCAAAAATTCCGGTTTAAAATTTAATCTCCGGTTAAATTCAAAAATGTTGTCAAATGATAGTTTATGAAAATCTAAGATAAAAAGGTAAGATCGGTTTTCCTCTAAAATTAACCGTTTAGGTTTTACAGCCTGTCAAAGTAGCAAAAAAGTCAATTTTCAACTGTCAATATTTCCAAAACAGTTGAACTTAGGGACTAAAATTTAGTACCAAAATGTATGTAATTAAAAACCTTGCAAAATGATGTATCATTTGACTCTCCTTCCCATTTAAAATTTTCTAGGGGGTGGCTCTGGGGGCTGGGGGGTTGAAAGGGGGGAGGTGAATTTTGCATAAAAACTCATCCCCCCTTAAATTATAGTTGACGTGTTTCAGGGATTTTTTCGAAAATTTTTCTACTCCGAGATAATAGGGGTGGGAAGTTTTCAAATTGACACCCTGTATACAAGGTTTAACGCGTTCCTCAGTATTTTTCGGGACAAAACCAGAATCTGTTTTTTTTATAAAAAAAATATGCTAGAACGATACTTTTCTCATTTTCCTGAATGATATTAGGAACTATTTTTCTAACACATAGATAATTATGACAGAAAAGGATTTAAAATTTTATTCTCAAAAACCATCAAGAATAAATCCATAAAACCTTATGTCGTTTCAATCAGCTCAATGTCTTGAAGAGAGCTATCTTTTGAACTAATAATACAATAAGGACTATCGGGGCCTAGTGAATAAAAATACTGAGTAGGCAGGTATGCCGCTGTATTCTGCTTCAAAAATTTTTCGCGCAAAGTTTTTGAAAAAATGAATTATTTTCAGAAACAAAAAAGTTATGATGATTTGGAAGTATTGCTCAAAATCGATGCCATAATCTATACAGGGTGTTGCGAAACTATTGTGCCAAAAATAAAGGGATGATAGATCTCGCCAAAATAAACGTTTTTTACTTATAAACCCATAGGCACATGCGCTTCGCTTAGGTGATAATAGCACATTACAGTCCGCGCTGTGGTAGCTACCTTAATCACGGAGAAGACTGTTTGAATCATAAACTGTACTATTAAATAATACAAAACCCAAGGAATGCTTGCAGTATTTATTAGCAACAATTATTCACAACAAAAGATGCTCAAAATTACGTCCACCCGCCCCAATGCATACGTGAAAAATATCGACTCCAGGAAACCCCTCCTGAACTGTTAGAAACTGTTCCCAGCTGTATGCCGGACAAAACATGTGGTACAAACACGACGGAGGTCCACCACATTACTCGTAAGCCGTAAAAGAACATCTCAACGAAACATAATCTGGAAAGAGTGTTTGTCAAGGGCGCACCTATTGCATGGCCTCCAGGTTCACCAGACCTGACCGAATGCGATTTTTTTTATGATGTCATATGAAAGTGAACGACACACCAGTTGAAACAGAGGAATAGTTAGTGGGAAGGATTGTTGTAGCAGCTGCTGAAATTCGCGAAACGCCAGGAATTTTTCAACGTGTTCAGCAAGCTATGATATAGCGCTGTTACGCATGCATTGAGGGTGGTCGTAATTTTGAGCATCTTCTGATGTGAATCATTGTTTTTAATAAATACTGCAAGCATTCCTGGGATTTCTGTACTATTTATTAAGAAGTTTCTCTGTGCGTAACGTACCTACCACAGCGCCGACGGTCATGTGCTATTATCACCTAACCAAAGCGCATGCGCCTATGGGTTTATAAGTAGAAAACGTTTATTTTGGCGAGATGTATCATCTCTTAATTTTTGGCACAATAGTTTCGGAACACCCTGTATAGCAGCAAAACGGTTGAAAATCAACATAGGGTTTGTTTCAACAAGGTTTTCAGAAAATTGAAGCCTCAGCGAGGGGGCTCAGAAATTATTGAACTTTCTTATTAGAACTATTAGAAGTGTCCCAATAGGCCTCTGTACGTAAAGTAGATATATTGGTATATACGATTTATCCTCGGGTTCATATTAAAGGACATAACAGTTTTTTTTATTAGGCCAGCAGACAAGTAGTTAATAAATGAAGGGGGTAACTGGAAAGTATTCCGAAGTTAATAATATTTTGGCATGTCGTTTGTGGATAGTCTGTGGAGTAGAATCTAAGTTTTCGACCTCGAGGACCCTGTGCTAACTTGGGAGGAAGTCGGAAAGACCTAGAAATTTTCGAACTCAGTTTTTTGCTTATAACTTTTAAACCATGCGTTTTTAGCGGAATACACCTGTTAATAAAGTTGAAGAAAATTAAATTTCCTTCAAATTTAACTGGTGAAAAGTATTTTTTAACGCAATAG